ACAATCCTTTTCTGTAAGCATCCATATATCGCCATGCTCTTCTTGCAAACTTACGGATTGTTATAACGTCTACAGAAACAAGAGCTTCTGGTACAATATTTCGCAACCTTTGAAACGTATAATTGCAATGACTTCTTGTATATTTTTTTATTGCACCCCAAAATACTCAATATAGTTTAATTCCAGATAGAATTTAGGGTAAAAAATAATTTTATGACCTCGACTATACACAATGTCTTCAAGAACATTTTTTTGTTCCATAAAATCTGGCTGTCTTGCTAACTTCCTCATGTTACAACAGATCTTTTCTTCATCTTCTAAGCACTTAATATATTTACCTCTTAATTGTTGATCCCAAATATTCCTTTCTTTCATTACTCATTTTATTCCCTTCAGTTTTCCTCTTTTTTTTACATTTTTATAATCAAGTTGAGATGTACCATCAGGTAATTGACCAGGACACATTCGTGGTTGTTTGCCACCATATTTTATATTCATTCTGCTTGCTACTAATGCATCTTCCGCAAAAGCACCATGACTTGAACTATTATTAAATGCAAATTCAAAAATTGTGCCCAGGAGTGCAATTTTCAAAACATCAATTGTTCGCTTAAGTTGTTCAGCAAGCAACTGAGCATTCCAATAACCATCGTGGTTTACACCAACTTCAAGTGTCTCTGTAACGTATCTATTTGGAATTTTTGAGTAGGCTAAATGTTGCTCTACAGTTAAATAAACACGTCCCAAAGGTTCACATAAAAATTCACTAATGTGAATACACCTGCCTTATCCCTTTGGACATAATTTTTGTTCACCTATTTGAAAAAAACATAAATAAATAATTAAAAATAAGTTTATCAAATAAATTAACCAGAAAAACACAAACCTCCAGGCCTCCATCCAGTTTTTTTATTATCATTAGCAGCTAATGTTGTCTCATCATGTGTTATTATACAATGCGGTTTTTGATTAAGAGGATTATTTTTTTTAACTAATGTTAAATCATTCTCATCATATTCAATAAGGAGAGATTCTAATTCAGCCATCATGGGTAAAAAAACTTTTTGTTGGTACCGTACTATATTCTCCCGTTCATGCCCATCTACATATACATTCTTTTTCCATTCCTTATAACTCCACCTA